ACATTAACATTTTAACTTTCAAACATAAACACTTACACATTTATAAGAACATTAACATTTTAACTTTCATACATAAACACTTACACATTTATAAGAACATTAACATTTTAACTTTCATACATAAACACTTACACATTTATAAGAACATTAACATTTTAACTTTCATACATAAACACTTACACATTTATAAGAACATTAACATTTTAACTTTCATACATAAACACCTACACATTTATAAGAACATTAACATTTTAACTTTCATACATAAACACTTACACATTTATAAGAACATTAACATTTTAACTTTCATACATAAACACTTACACATTTATAAGAACATTAACATTTTAACTTTCATACATAAACACTTACACATTTATAAGAACATTAACATTTTAACTTTCATACATAAACACTTACACATTTATAAGAACATTAACATTTTAACTTTCATACATAAACACTTACACATTTATAAGAACATTAACATTTTAACTTTCATACATAAACACTTACACATTTATAAGAACATTAACATTTTAACTTTCATACATTTTACACATTTATGAGAACATTAACATTTTAACTTTCAAACATAAACACTTACACATTTATAAGAACATTAACATTTTAACTTTCAAACATAAACACTTACACATTTATAAGAACATTAACATTTTAACTTTCAAACATAAACACTTACACATTTATAAGAACATTAACATTTTAACTTTCATACATAAACACTTACACATTTATAAGAACATTAACATTTTAACTTTCAAACATAAACACTTACACATTTATAAGAACATTAACATTTTAACTTTCATACATAAACACTTACACATTTATAAGAACATTAACATTTTAACTTTCAAACATAAACACTTACACATTTATAAGAACATTAACATTTTAACTTTCATACATAAACACTTACACATTTATAAGAACATTAACATTTTAACTTTCATACATAAACACTTACACATTTATAAGAACATTAACATTTTAACTTTCAAACATAAACACTTACACATTTATAAGAACATTAACATTTTAACTTTCATACATAAACACTTACACATTTATAAGAACATTAACATTTTAACTTTCATACATAAACACCTACACATTTATAAGAACATTAACATTTTAACTTTCATACATAAACACTTACACATTTATAAGAACATTAACATTTTAACTTTCATACATAAACACTTACACATTTATAAGAACATTAACATTTTAACTTTCATACATAAACACTTACACATTTATAAGAACATTAACATTTTAACTTTCATACATAAACACTTACACATTTATAAGAACATTAACATTTTAACTTTCATACATAAACACTTACACATTTATAAGAACATTAACATTTTAACTTTCATACATAAACACTTACACATTTATAAGAACATTAACATTTTAACTTTCATACATTTTACACATTTATGAGAACATTAAGATTTTAACTTTCAAACATAAGCACCTACACATTTATAAGAACATTAACATTTTAACTTTCAAACATAAACACCTACGCATTTATAAGAACATTAACATGTTAACTTTCAAACATAAACACCTACACATTTATAAGAACATTAACATTTTAACTTTCAAACATAAACACCTGCACATTTATAAGAACATTAACATGTTAACTTTCAAACATAAACACCTACACATTTATAAGAACATTAACATTTTAACTTTCAAACATAAACACTTACACATTTATAAGAACATTAACATTTTAACTTTCATACATTTTACACATTTATGAGAACATTAAGATTTTAACTTTCAAACATAAGCACCTACACATTTATAAGAACATTAACATTTTAACTTTCAAACATAAACACCTACGCATTTATAAGAACATTAACATGTTAACTTTCAAACGTAAACACCTACACATTTATAAGAACATTAACATTTTAACTTTCAAACATAAACACCTACACATTTGTAAGAACATTAACATTTTAACTTTCATACATTTTACACATTTATAAGAACATTAACATTTTAACTTTCAAACATAAACACCTACACATTTATAAGAACATTAACATTTTAACTTTCAAACATAAACACTTACACATTTATAAGAACATAAACATTTTAACTTTCAAACATCAACACCTACGCATTTATAAGAACATTAACATTTTAACTTTCATACATTTTACACATTTATAAGAACATTAACATTTTAACTTTCAAACATAAACACCTACACATTTATGAAAACATTAAGATTTTAACTTTCAAACATAAACACTTACACATTTATAAGAACATTAACATTTTAACTTTCAAACATAAACACTTACACTATCAACATGAGGACAATGAGAGCTGCTTGTCAGTTTTTTATTATTATAAAGCCACACTATTCAAATTTATTATGTAAGTGCACAAATTCAAAATTCAAGTTTTATTTGATTAATTTGATGGCATATTCATATAACAGAAAATACAATTTTAATAAAGAAAAAATAAATTGAGCAATTATTTCAATTATAAAAATGCAACAACAATTTATGAAACCTTATGATCAAAAATTTAATATTTTGCGTTTAATTTGTTGTTATTAGCAGCAATTCTGTCAAATGTTGGTAATTGGTCAGTTGTTAACAGTTAACAATTGTGGAGTATTCACAACAACATGCCAAAATTACCAAAATAAAAAAAGAATGAAATTGAAAAAAATTTTCAAAATTCAATTGTTGACACCATTATGTCATGCTTGATCATTCATTTTTATTAGTTTCATTTCCCTAGCTGATTTTTCACCAGTATTATTTCAGAATTCCAATTTTAAAAAACTCTGAACATTTTGACTAAAATGTTCAGAGTTTTTTAAAATATCCAACTTCCGATCAGTCTTCTCTTTAATATTAGTATGGTCTTAAAGCCTTGATCAACAAATTTCTCACACTCTATCTTAATTCAAATAACTAACTGTCAGATAATTAATACAGTTTTCAATCTTTTTGTTTTATAGTTGACTTGCTAACTGCTGTGACAGAAAGGTTTTATTAAAATGGAGGCTTTTAAATTAAAGTACTATTGAAAGTTAATTTTTTATTTATATTATCTAATCATGTAAGATTATTTTATAAGTAAAAATAAAAAAAGTAGATATTAAAAAAAAAAAATTAAATTTTATAAGCAACGACTTTAAACAGCAATGACTTTAAACAGTCTTTTATATAAGAATCATTTTTGTTTTTGTTGAGAAAAAAAAAAAGACAAACTTTTTTGAAAGCTGTTTGAATTAAATAACTTTGATCTTTACTTACGTTTTTATAACACATTTAAATAAAGTAACAAATCACTTCTAATGATTTTTTATAAAATCATTAATGAATAAATATCTGATCTAACCCTTAAAAATACGGGTCTTTGTGAGTTTATTCCACACTGATCTTTTCTATACTTTTTTCTAAGATATATATTTTTTTGTTTGTTAGTGAAATTTAGCGCTGCTTAGTTTATGGGTGATTCCTAATCTAAAGGTTCTAACAGTGGTGTGGTAAAATAGTTGTAAAACTCTAAATTTCCTTATTATATCAAATGATTTAAACTTTTAATTACTTTTAAAATTGTTCAATAGCTGATCGGACCTGTAAAATTTGGGTGTTTGTAAGTCTATTTCACACTGACTGTTACTATACTTTTTTAAATATATATCCTAATTAACCAGTAACACACCTTTCCATATACGCAGGCTGTCAAGTCGTCATTTTTTTCATTTTTTTTTTTCATTTTTTTTGGGTTCTTTTTTTTTTCTTTTTTTTTTTTCATTTTTTTGTTAGTTTCTGTTATTTTTTCATTTTTTTCTTGAATTTTTTACACTTTAAAGTTTTTTTTTATAAAAAAATACTTAGAATTGTTGTTTTTGATATTTTTAAGTTGTTTTGGACATTATGTTAGTTTTTTATTTAATTTTCAAAACTATTTTATAATAACAGTTACAATCTTTTATATTCACATTTTAATTTTAATTATCCATTCGTATTGCTAAATTGGTGTTATTATTTTAAAAAATAAATCATTCTATAGTATAGAGTTAGTAAAGTTAGTGATTTTTATATTTAGTTTTTAGTATATTTATCAATAGATTATATAGTATAATGGTTAAGTGGAATGATGTGTGGTTGGAAAAGTTAGACAAAAATCTTGTGAAAATTCAATTATGGGCTGAAAAAAGAAACTCTGAATATGCTATCTGTAAACTATGCAAAAGTGATTTAAAATTCAGTTCAGTTGGTTTCCAAGCACTATATCAGCATTCTTCAAAACCTAAACATAAGTCAGTGTCTGATCTAAGATTTTCAAAAACTGCTTCTCATTTATATGTAGATTCTAACAAAAACTCTATTGGGGAAGAAAAAGTTATACAATTAGAGTTCTCTATAAATGAAAAAACTTCTGCTGCAGAAGCCATGTGGCTTTTTAAAGTGGCAGAGAATAATCTTGCCTTAAGACATTGTGACAACACACCAATATTGTTCCAAAGAATGTTTCCAGATAGTAAAATAAGTCAAGGTTTTACTATGAGTCGGCAAAAAGTTTCATATATTTTGCAAGATGGCCTTGGGCCATTGTTGGAAAAGCGTTTATGTAATAGTATCACGTTAAGTCAAGGTGCATTCACTTTAATGTTTGATGAAACAACTACTTCACAACAAAGAAAACAAATGGATCTTTTATGTTGTTTTAGATCAGAAGACGAAAACCAAGTTGTTACAAAATATTTAACATCGCTTTATCAGAGCAACAGCAGAAGATGTCAAAACAATTCTAGCAGATTTACGTCATAATGAAAGGTTTTATTTACCATGGGATCGTCTTTTTAATATTTCAGCAGATGGTCCTAATATTAACAAAGCCATTTGGAGATTGTTAAATGCTGATCTTCATAGTAATGGTTTTAATGGCTTGTTACCATTTGTAAGTTGCACTTTGCACACACTGCATAATGCTTTTCGAAAAGCAATTAATGTTGTCGGTGAGGATGCTGAGCAGCTTGCATTTGATTTACATACCTGGTTCAAGGTAATGATTTGAGTAATTTTATACAGTAGAATCCCATTAATTCCGACCCTGGATAAGTTGGATTTGTACTAAGTCGGACAGATTTTCAATTCCCCTTGAGCTTTCTATACATACAAAAAGCTTAGCTTATTTGGACATTTGCTAAGTCAGACTATTTATCTAATCCCTGTGAGAGTCTAACTTAAAGGGATTTTACTGCAGTTAATACTAAAAGAGAATTTTTTATTTTACCTATGAAGTTATTTTTCTTACATTATTATTATTTTTTATTCTAATAGTCTATTATACGACTAGCTAATAAAGTGTAGTGTTTCTATAATTTTTTTTTTCTGTTTTAGAATGCACCCTGTAAAATAAAAGATTTCAAAAAATTATCAGATTGCATTTTTATTGACGATGAAACATTGTTTCTTCGTTTTATCAATACTAGATGGCTTACTCTTTCTTCTTCACTTATAAAGGTTCTATTAAAGTGGGAAGACACCAAGAAATATTTTTTGGAATATGTTCCAAAACAAAAGGAGTATAAAAAACACTGACAAACAACAAGCGTTATATTCGGATTCAAAGAAGTCTTAAGGCAACTGAAAATGTAATTAAAGTTATTCTTCTTCTTATTTTTTTGAATTATAACATATAATAGAGAATTGATTATTTTAGGAGTTACTTGTGTCCATCAAATTCCTTATTGGTTTAGCTCCCTTGTTTGAGAAATACTTGACAAAATTTCAAGATGAAGGACCACTTGTTCATATTTTATTTTATAAAATGAAAAATCTTTTAATATCTTTAATGAAACGTTTTCTTCAGCCGACTGCTGTTAATGGAAAGCTTACCAAAGATCTTTTAAAAATTGATTCTTCCGATTTAACTATCCATTTGAATAAAATGGACTTTGGTGAGGAAGCTAAAAACCAGGTAATTTTTAATAGGTACACATTTGCTACATTTACCAGTTGCACATTTGCTACCTGGTAAATGTGTACTTGGTAAATATGTATAAGTAAGGGTACTAGGCAATATAAACTATTTTGTTTATTGTATTAATCATTAGATATTATATTATTGAAAATTAAGTTTTTTTATTCATTTTCATTGATGTAGATTTTCAATATAAATATGTTTTAGGTGAACAAAATATCATGTGAAAAAAAAAGATATGTCTGCTTACAGCAAATGAGATATGGATATATATCTGTTGTAAAACACTTGCAAAAAAAACTTCCACTTGATTCGCAGATATTAAAAGATATGACTTGTTTGGGTGCTCAAATGAGATCAGAACCTTGGACTTTTAATGCAATTGGGAGAATAGCAGTTATGATGCCACATGTAATTACGGAAAGGGAGGTGAATATTTAAATAAATTTTATATATATATATATATATATATATATATATATATATATATATATATCATAATTTTTGATTTGTAAATTAAACTAATAATAAGTAAATTTGAAAATTTTAAATAATATAAGTATATATATTGTTAACATAATCTACTATATAATTAAAATAGCAGAGTACGTTAACCATATAAATATATTATTTAACATTTTCAAAATTTACTAATTATTAGTTTAATTTACAAATTAGAAATTGTTGTTTGTAAATTATTAGTTAACAAACTATTTTAATTTTAATATAATTAAATTTTCCTTTAATTTTAAATGTTAACACTTTCTCCATAAAAATTTTATCTTAATTTTTTTACAGGTATCATTTGTGAAAGATGAATGGAAATTATACCAAGCAGCTAATATATCAAAAGACTGGTATCTAGATTCTGATACAAAAAAACTAAAAAGAGTAGACCATTATTGGGTTAAAGTTTTTGAAAGTATGGAAAAAACTTTAGCCCAATGAATATGGAAAAACAAAGTATGGGCATCTCAGTAAAGTTGTTAAGAGCTGTTTAACAATTCAGAATGGAAATGCCAGTGCTGGGCGAAGTTTATCTGGTAACAAAAATACATTGACTCCTAGGAGAGTAAATCTAAATGATGAAACATTAATGGCTTTGAGAATATCAAAAGAATATGCAAGAAGTTGCAAAGGAGCATAAAATGTTGATGCACTCTCCAAAGACGTTGTTCAAGCTGTTCAAAATGCTCATAAAATATATAAAAAAAGAAAAGCTGAAAAAGACAAAGAAAAAAGAAAAAATTATATTCATGAGCAAGAACTAATGAATAAAGAAAAAGAACAGAAAGAAATGCTTGAAAAATTTGAAAATAAAAATAAAAATTTAGATCAACAGGAAAAAAGTCTAAAGAATGATGAAAAAAATGCAGATTTTGAGTTTCAGCTTGCTCAGAGAATGTCAGCTTGCTCAGAGAATGCTTAATGAAGTAGCAAAATCTATGCAAAGTGAAGGAAGGAATGAAGAAAGGAAGACATGATGGGTATAAAAATTGCCCATGAAATGATAAACAGCGCAAAAAGAAGTCTTGAAAATGCTACATCTCATAGAAATGAACAGAAAAAGTTGAGAGAAAATATTGGTTTAAAACGTAAAAGTG